CAGGCGTCGTGGCAGCAAGAGCTGGAGTAGGATATTCCTGTAGTCAGTCACCTCCAGGAAGGAGACACCCAGGAGTGACACGTCCCACGGTCAGCCAGTGAGTCAAACTCATCCTTTGGTTGGTTGGTTGGTGCAATCCGAGGCCATGCTGCTGACCGTCCTCAAGCTCGTGGCCGGTGCCGGAGTCACCGTCGTGGTAGTCCCGGTTTTCTTCTGTCTTTCCTTCGGGTTCCAGTATGCCAGGTCCGTGCTCCCTCCTGGGATCGACCAGCCGTTTAAGCTCCGCTTTTTTCACTGCATTTTCCTCACCGTCTTCCTCTGGGTAAGTTGCTCGCCGTTTCCAACTTGTCATGGTGGGATCCTGTAGAATCGATCTATCGCGAAGTCCAACAGATTTTTATGTTGTTTATGGCGAGATCATGTGTCTAGTACAGTGTTTCTCAACCTGGGGGTCGCGACCCCCAGGGGGGTCATTGGGCCATTTTCGGGGGGTCGGGAAGCTGCCTTGGTTGGCCCCACAATTACAATTAGGAAGTAGCGATAATAATAATTTTATGGTTGGGAGTCACCACAACTTGAGGTGCTGGTCTAGTAGGACTTTGGGTGGTTGTCCTTAGACTCACAAGGTTGGCTCAGATGGTTGTGATGTCCTTCCATGGATGTGTGTATGTATGTAGGTATTAGGCCTGTGCAAAGCTTCCAAGGTCCGTGTCGCAATCTGAAGTTTTGTACGACTCGTTAATACAAATCTCTTAATTACGAATCGGAACGGGACTCCTCTGAAGCACAACAGAATGAAATGGAAGACATGGAAATGTTTCAGAGAGTTTCGTAATGATTTGTTGTTTCGGAGTGTTTCGAGATATAGTTGTTTTGAAACCATTTTTAATTGAACAATTCCTATTATTCATTCATATATATATATATATATGTATGTATATATATGTATATATGTATATATATGATAGATAAGATAGATTGATCGATTGATCGATCAATAGATAGGGTGGGTGGATGGATGGATGGACAAATAAGATAGATAGATAGAAAGATAGATAGATAGATAGATAGGGTAGGTGAATAGATAGATAGGGTAGGTGGATAGATAGATAGGGTAGGTGGATAGATAGATAGATAGATAGATAGATAGATAGGGTGGGTGAATAGATAGATAGGGTAGGTGAATAGATAGATAGGGTAGGTGGATAGATAGATAGATAGATAGATAGATAGATAGATAGGTGGATAGATAGATAGATAGATAGATAGATAGATAGATAGGGTAGGTGGATAGATAGATAGATAGATAGATAGATAGATAGATAGATAGATAGATAGATAGATAGATAGGGTAGGTGGATAGATAGATAGATAGATAGATAGATAGATAGATAGATAGATAGATAGATAGATAGATAGATAGATAGATAGGGTAGGTGGATAGATAGATAGATAGATAGATAGATAGGGTAAGATAGATAGATAGATAGATAGGGTAGGTGGATAGATAGATAGATAGATAGATAGATAGATAGATAGATGGATAGGGTAGGTGGATAGATAGATAGGGTAGGTGGATAGATAGATAGATAGATAGATAGATAGATAGATAGGGTAGGTGGATAGATAGATAGGGTAGGTGGATAGATAGATAGATAGATAGATAGGGTGGGTGAATAGATAGATAGGGTAGGTGGATAGATAGATAGATAGATAGATAGATAGATAGATAGGATAGATAGATAGATAGATAGATAGATAGATAGATAGGGTAGGTGGATAGATAGATAGATAGATAGATAGATAGATAGATAGATAGATAGATAGGTAGGTGGATAGATAGATAGATAGATAGATAGATAGATAGATAGATAGATAGATAGATAGATAGGGTAGGTGGATAGATAGATAGATAGATAGATAGATAGATAGATAGATAGATAGATAGGTAGGTGGATAGATAGATAGATAGATAGATAGATAGATAGATAGATAGATAGGATAGATAGATAGATAGATAGATAGATAGATAGATAGATAGATAGATAGGGTAGGTGGATAGATAGATAGATAGATAGATAGATAGATAGATAGATAGGGTAGGTGGATAGATAGATAGATAGATAGATAGATAGATAGATAGATAGATAGGGTAGGTGGATAGATAGATAGATAGATAGATAGATAGATAGATAGATAGATAGATAGGGTAGGTGGATAGATAGATAGATAGATAGATAGATAGATAGATAGATAGATAGGGTAGGTGGATAGATAGATAGATAGATAGATAGATAGATAGATAGATAGACAGACATGATAGATAGATAGATGGATAGGGTAGGTGGATAGATAGGATAAGATATATAGGATGGATGGATCGATGGATGGATGAATAGAGAGAGAAAGAGAGAAATTACAATTAGGAAGTAGCGATAATAATAATTTTATGGTTGGGAGTCACCACAACTTGAGGTGCTGGTCTAGTAGGACTTTGGGTGGTTGTCCTTAGACTCACAAGGTTGGCTCAGATGGTTGTGATGTCCTTCCATGGATGTGTGTATGTATGTAGGTATTAGGCCTGTGCAAAGCTTCCAAGGTCCGTGTCGCAATCTGAAGTTTTGTACGACTCGTTAATACAAATCTCTTAATTACGAATCGGAACGGGACTCCTCTGAAGCACAACAGAATGAAATGGAAGACATGGAAATGTTTCAGAGAGTTTCGTAATGATTTGTTGTTTCGGAGTGTTTCGAGATATAGTTGTTTTGAAACCATTTTTAATTGAACAATTCCTATTATTCATTCATATATATATATATATATGTATGTATATATATGTATATATGTATATATATGATAGATAAGATAGATTGATCGATTGATCGATCAATAGATAGGGTGGGTGGATGGATGGATGGACAAATAAGATAGATAGATAGAAAGATAGATAGATAGATAGATAGGGTAGGTGAATAGATAGATAGGGTAGGTGGATAGATAGATAGTAGATAGATAGATAGATAGATAGGGTAGGTGGATAGATAGATAGATAGATAGATAGATAGATAGATAGATAGATAGGGTGGGTGAATAGATAGATAGGGTAGGTGAATAGATAGATAGGGTAGGTGGATAGATAGATAGATAGGGTAGGTGGATAGATAGATAGATAGATAGATAGATAGATAGATAGATAGATAGATAGAAGGTAGGTGGATAGATAGATAGATAGATAGATAGATAGATAGATAGATAGATAGATAGATAGATAGATAGATAGATAGGGTAGGTGGATAGATAGATAGATAGATAGATAGATAGATAGATAGATAGATAGATAGATAGATAGATAGATAGATAGATAGGGTAGGTGGATAGATAGATAGATAGATAGATAGATAGATAGATAGATTGGATAGATAGATAGATAGATAGATAGATAGATAGATAGATAGGGTAGGTGGATAGATAGATAGATAGATAGATAGATAGATAGATAGATAGATAGATAGATAGATAGATAGATAGATAGATAGATAGATAGATAGATAGGGTAGGTGGAGATAGATAGATAGATAGATAGATAGATAGATAGACATGATAGATAGACATGATAGATAGATAGATAGATAGATAGATAGATAGATAGATAGATAGATAGACATGATAGATAGATAGATGGATAGGGTAGGTGGATAGATAGGATAAGATATATAGGATGGAAGGATCGATGGATGGATGAATAGAGAGAGAAAGAGAGAAAATGATGAATGGATGGATGGATTGATAGAGATAGAGATGATGGATGGATAGATATAGATAAATAGATAAGATAGACATGATGGATAGAGAGGATTGATTGATGGATGAATGGATGGATAGATAGATGGATGAATTGGATAAATAGGTAAATAGATATAGATAGATCGACAGATAGATAAATGGATGGATTGGATAAGTAGGTAAATAGATGATAGATAGATAGATAGATAGATAGATAGATAGATAGATAGATAGATAGAGTGGGTCATTGTCCTGATCGGACAGATGGATGGATGGATAAATAAATAGATAGATGGATTGATGGATTGGATAGGTAGGTAAATAGACGATAGATAGATAGATAGATAGATAGATAGATAGATAGATAGGGTCATGGTGCTGATGGGACAGATGGATAAATGGATGGATGGATGGATAGATAGATAGTAGGGCTGGGCGGTTTCGTTTCGTAATTTCGTAATTCATTAAAAATTCGTTATTTTTTTATAACGAAGCAATTTTGAACCATTCAGGAGCATCTGAAAAACGAAACGAATTTTTCAATTCGTTTCGTGATTGCTTCGTATTCGTTTCGTATTCGTTTCGAAATCGTTTCGTTATTATTTCCGCATGTCTGGGGCAAGTTTTACAGCTGTTGTTTGTTTAATCAGTGAAAAAAAATTATAAATATCACACCAACAGTCAACAACAGAGGGAGAGGGAAGCTTCAGAAGTTCCCCCTGTCCCATATGGAGGTTTCTTAGCGTATTGCGCGGTCGCGTCCGCCATTAACGAATCAATTCGTATTCGTTTCGTATTCGTTTCGTAATTTTACGAAATTTCGTAAATATCGAACTTTTTTAAAGAAAAATTTTGGAATTCTTTTAAATATCGAAACGCAAAAAACCCCAAAAAACGAATCGAGTTTAGAAACAAATTTTTCAAGCCCTAATAGATAGATAGATAGATAGATAGATAGATAGATAGATAGATAGATAGGGTCATGGTGCTGATGGGACAGATGGATGAATAGATGGATGGATGGATAGATAGATAGATAGATAGATAGATAGATAGATAGACAGACAGATAGAGTAGGTGGTTGGGTGGAAATGTAGATTGTAAAAGAGGGGCATCGGATAAAAGCGTCGGGTAAGACGGAATGTTGGATAAGCCAAGGCCGGATAAGTATTCCAGAGTGATGGTGCCACTGCTGTGAAGGCTCTGCATCTGGTTGCTGTTAGACGTAAGGTCTTGACACTGGGGACTTCCAATAGATCTTGGTCCTCAGAATGGAGGGATCTCTGGGGTTGGGAGGGGGTGAGGCGGTCCCTCAGGTACATCGGCCCCAGACCATGCAAGGCCTTCAAGGTGAGTACCATCCCTTTGAAAGTGATCCGGTGCTCAATGGGTAACCAATGCAGCTGGAGTAAGATTGGGGTGATGTGGCATCTCATCGGAATTCCCACAAGAAGCCGAGCAGCTGCATTTTGTACCAACTTGAGCTTCCGGATCATCGACAGAGGAAGGCTAATGTAGAGGGCGTTACAGTAGTCCAGTCTTGAGATGACCGTGGCCTGGATCACCGTAGCCAGGTCGACACTGGACAGGGAGGGGGCCAGCCGTCTAGCTTGCCGCACGTGGAAGAAGGCGGTTCTGCTCACGGCGGAAAGAGACCTGGGCCTCCATCCTCAGCAGAGGGTCCAAAAGGACTCCCAGACTCTTGACCAATGATGATGGGCGTAGTGCCTCGCCATCCAGGGTAGGCAGCTGGATGTCCCCACTGCCCAGTTGACCCAGCCATAGGATCTCCGTCTTTGCTGGATTCACCCTCAACCTGCTGGTACGGCCTCGAGGCACTGATGGAAACAATCGGGTACAGAGTCCGGTCGGCCTTCCATCTTCAGCACCAGCTGAGTGTCATCGGCGTACTGGTCACACTCCAGCCCAAAACCTTCGAACCAGCTGAGCAAGTGGTCGCTTAGAGATGTTAAACAAGAGAAGGGAGAGAATGGCCCCCTGAGGAGGAACCCCACAAGAGAGAGCAGTGGTTCTCAACCTTTCTAACACCGTGACCCCTAAGTATGCTTCCTCATATTGTGGTGACCCCGTTTGCCAGCTGGCGGGAGCACGAGAGACATGAGGGAGGCCTCGCGCAGCCATTTTGAGGGGGCGGGGCCAACCGAGGCACCTTCGCGACCCCCAGAAAATGGCCCAACGACCCCTCTGGGGGTCGCGACCCCCAGGTTGAGAACCGCTGAGATAGAGGGACCTCTCAGAGACCAGACCTCCCCCCTCCACGCGCTGTCCACGGTTGTGAAGAAAGGAGGGGAGCCAGTTGAAAGCTCTCCCCCGGACTCACTCCACCAACAGCAAGGCGGTGGGTCAAAAGATGGTGGTCGAGTGTGTCCAATGCTGCTGTGAGATCCAATAACACAAGCAGTGCAGACCCGCCCTGGTCAAGCTGGCATCGAAGGTGGTCCATGATGGAGACTAGCACAGTCTCTGTCCCGTGCCCCGCACGGAAGCCGGTATGGAAGGGATCTCGTCTGGCTGTGTCGTCTAGGAATTGCTGAATGATGCGGAATCACGCAGGGTGTTGTGCGAGCGAAACCAAACTGCAGCCTTCTCCAAAGGTCTAATGTCTCTTGTTGGTTTTTTAAACTGTGCTACCAGAGTGCAATCCATTCCTGGTTCTGTACGTATGTTTCCAAAGGATTTGGGGGCTGGAAAAAGACCCCCTTAAACCCTGTAAGGCCCCATTTCCCTGTTGTGGTCCCTGTGAATCGTACATGTGGTAGTTTCTGTGCCTGCGCAGAGCAATTTCAGAACCTTCTAGAGCAGCGGTTCTCAACCTGGGGGTCGCGACCCCCAGGGGGGTTGTTGGGCCATTTTTGGGGGGTCGTTACATATATTTAAAACACATACATAACTAAATTAATCCTGACATAACAGGTCAAATAATAATAATAGTAATAATAATAATAATAATAATAATAATAATAATAATAATAGATACATCACACAGTCCTAGACGCTTGGGAAGTGTTTGACTTGTGATTTTGTGATATGAAATCCAGCATATATATCTCATTTTATGTCATTAAAATAAGATTAATAATAGGTATGTGAGTACATAAAAACATTCTCCTGTTCGAATGCTACATTGTGTCCAAATTTTGAAGCAATCGGTAAAGTATTTTGGGAGTTTTTAGGTCATGCACAAACAAACATTTACATTTTTGTTGATGTAAATGTTCGTTTGTGCATGACCTAAAAACTCCCAAAATACTTCACTGATTGCTTCAAAATTTGGACACAATGTAGCATTCGAACAGGAGAACGTTTTTATGTATTCACATCCCTATTATTATATAGATGTCACACCTTTGACAGGTAAAAACATGCTTGTCATCAAAAACAGTGCCATCTGCTGGATGTCCAAGCAACAGATTGTGAAGTGACCCTGTCAGGGCCGGCGCCGGCCATTAGGGAGCAGAACCGGAAGAAAAAGAGTGGGAAAAGGGTGGCGGGGCAGGTAGGTGAGGAGGCGGCATGACACCTCTGCCACCTCCTTGATCGCAGGTCCCAAGTGGCGGTGACGAGGAAGAGGAAGATAAAGAGGCCGAGGGGACGGGTCTTCTTCCCTCCCTGCCCTCCCAAAAAATGCCAAGGTCTGTTTCCCCCAAACTCCACCAAGGTCATGTGGCTGACATGACAGCATGGAGCGCTGTTGTTGGGTATTTGTGCCAAATTTGGTCCAGTGAATGAAAATACATCCTGCATTTCAGGTATTTACATTATGATTCATAACAGTAACGCAATTACAATTAGGAAGTAGCGATAATAATAATTTTATGGTTGGGGGTCTCCGCAATGTGAGGCGCTGTATTAAGGGGTCGCGGCATTAGGAAGGTTGAGAACCAGTGCTCTACTGTATTGTTAACCTTTTATCCGGAAGCCCTCATTTGTCATCCCAAACGCAGCCAAATCTGTAGGGTCTGGTAAGCATTATGTTGCTGAGTCTCAACACATTAGGCTTGGGCGGTTTCGTTCATTGATTTAGTAATTCGTTATTAATTCGTATTTAAATTAGCTTACGATCCGATATTGAGCCATGCAGGAATAGTGTGAGGAGTAATTAAGAATCGAAACAATTTTTCCAATTTTTGTAATTATTTCGTAATATAATATAACAATATATAATATATAATACAATATATTATAATATACAATAATATAATATAATATTATAATAATATTATATATATAATATAATAATATATAATATAATAATATTATTATAATATAATATAATATATAATAATATAATAATATATAATATAATATAATATAATAATAATATAATATAATAATATAATATATATAATATAATATATTATAATAATATTGTAATAATATATAATATAATATATTAGGCCTGGGTAACAACGGAAAAATTTGTTTCTAAAATCGATTCGTTTTTTGGGGTTTTTTGCGTTTCGATATTTAAAAGAATTCCGAATTTTTTTTAAAAAAAAGTTTGATATTTACGAAATTTCGTAAATGGTAAAAAAATTACAAAACAATAACGAAACAATAACGAAACAATAACGAATCGATTCGTTAATGGCGGACGCGACCGCGCAATACGCTAAAAAACCTCCAAATGGGACAGGGGGAACTTCTGAAGCTTCCCTCTCCTTCTGCTGTTGACTGTTGGTGTGATATTATAATTTTTTTTCACTAATTAAACAAAAAACAACTATAAAACTTGCCCCAGACATGCGGAAATAATAACGAAACGACCTCAAACCAATAACGAAACGAATACATAACGAAATACGAAGCATTTACGAAACGAATTGAAAAATTCGTTTCGTTTTTAAGTTGCTCCAGAATGGTTCGTTATCGCTTCGTTAACAAAAAAAGAATGAATTTTTAACGAATTACGAATTAACGAAACGAAACCGCCCAGCCCTATAATATATATAATATAATATAATAATATATAATATAATAATATTATAATAATATATAATATATAATAATATAATATAATATAGTTGTTGTTTGTTTTATCACACCCACAGTCAACAACAGTGGGAGAGGGAAGCTTCAGAAGTTCCCTGTGTCCCATTTGGAGGTTTTTTTAGCATATTGCGCAATCACGTCCGCCATTAACGAATCGATTCGAAATTTACGAAATTTTGTAAATTTCGAATTTTTTTAAAGAAAAAATTCAGAATTCTTTAAAAAAACAAAACGCAATGGACCCCCTGAAACGAAACAAGTTTAGAAACAAATTTTTTCGTTGTTACTCAAGCCTAGTAAGCATGCCTTATAATTTCTCCGTCCTAGGGAACGGTTTTGGAGAAGCTGCGGCTGTACAAGTTCCTGAGCCTTTTACGAATCGTAACAGATGGCATCCCGCCTTTTGGGAAGGATCCGGCGCTTCTCATCCAGAACCAAAAATTTGACGGCGTGACGGTACGGACGTATCAGCCGAAAGCGGAGTCGGCCGTGAAAAGGAAAGGATTCCTCTTCTTCCATGGAGGCGCTGGGACGTACGGGAGCGTCGGTAAGAAGAACTATGTTGCATTACGTTACATGACACGATTTTTGTTCCTGGGTTCCCAATGCCATTCCCTATCTCATTTTTGTGTCAGTAAAATAAGATTAATAATAGGGATGTGAGTACATAAAAACATTCTCCTGTTCGAATGCTACATTGTGTCCAAATTTTGAAGCAATCAGTGAAGTATTTTGGGAGTTTTTAGGTCACGTACAAATGAACATTTACATTTCTATTTATGTTCGTTTGTGCATTACCTAAAAACTCCCAAAATACTTCACTAATTGCTTCAAATTTTGGACACAATGTAGCATTCGAACAGGAGAATGTTTTTATGTACTCACATACCTATTATTATATAGTAGGGCTGGGCGGTTTCGTTCGTTAATTTCGTAATTCGTTATTTTCGTTATTTTTTTTATAACAAAGCGATATTGAACCATTCAGGAGCAACTAAAAATCGAAACGAATTTTTCAATTTATTTCGTAATTGTTTCGTAATTGTTTCGTAATTGTTTCGAAATCGTTTTCGAAATTGTTTCGTTATTATTTCCGTATGTCTGTTGCAAGTTTTATAGTTGTTGTTTGTTTTATCAGTGATAAAAAATAAATTATCACACCAACAGTCAACAACAGAGGGAGAGGGAAGCTTCAGAAGTTCCCCCTGTCCCATTTGGAGGTTTTTTTAGCGTATTGCGCAATCGCGTCCGCCATTAACGAATCAATATCGAAATTTACGAAATTTCGTAAATAACGAAATTTTTTAAAAGAAAAATTCGGAATTCTTTTAAAAAACGAAACGCAATGGACCCCCTAAAAACAAAACGAGTTTAGAAACAAATTTTTCCGTTGTTACCCAGGCCTATTATATAGATGTCACACCTGTGACAAGTAAAAACATGCTTGGCATCAAAAGTAAAACCATGCTTGGCATCATAAAAAATACGAGCTAAGAGGGCGGTATATAAATATAGTCAATAAAATAATAATAATAATAATAATAATTCGAAAACTTCCAAAACTTTGCACATTTTGCCATTGTTTTCCAATGACTCTCTCAAATCTCAACAAACATGACATATTTATGGCACAAAAAGGAAGTTTCTGGAGCAAAACAACTACTTTCAAAATACAGACCATACAACGAAACGCGAAATGATACTTTCAAACCAGGAACATTTTCACATTTTGCTATATAATGTTACAAAGGATGGGGTGAGCTCCCATTGACAGCCCCAGTCAAAACGAAAGTCTCTTCACATCTGCTTATCTCTTCTTCCTGGGACTGGTTACTCTCTTCTGTTCCCAGCAAGAGCAAACCTTATCTTACTTCTCTCAAGGTCACATAATCACAGCTTCATGGTATGAACATTCTGCACAACATTTCTAATACACAGTGGAATCCATCTTGGAAATACATATATTTAAAACACATACATAACTAAATTAATCCTGACATAACAGGTCAAATAATAATAATAGTAATAGTAATAATAATAATAATAATAATAATAATAATAATAATAATAATAGATACATCACACAGTCCTAGACGCTTGGGAAGTGTTTGACTTGTGATTTTGTGATATGAAATCCAGCATATATATCTCATTTTATGTCATTAAAATAAGATTAATAATAGGTATGTGAGTACATAAAAACATTCTCCTGTTCGAATGCTACATTGTGTCCAAATTTTGAAGCAATCGGTAAAGTATTTTGGGAGTTTTTAGGTCATGCACAAACAAACATTTACATTTTTGTTGATGTAAATGTTCGTTTGTGCATGACCTAAAAACTCCCAAAATACTTCACTGATTGCTTCAAAATTTGGACACAATGTAGCATTCGAACAGGAGAACGTTTTTATGTATTCACATCCCTATTATTATATAGATGTCACACCTTTGACAGGTAAAAACATGCTTGTCATCAAAAACAGTGCCATCTGCTGGATGTCCAAGCAACAGATTGTGAAGTGACCCTGTCAGGGCCGGCGCCGGCCATTAGGGAGCAGAACCGGAAGAAAAAGAGTGGGAAAAGGGTGGCGGGGCAGGTAGGTGAGGAGGCGGCATGACACCTCTGCCACCTCCTTGATCGCAGGTCCCAAGTGGCGGTGACGAGGAAGAGGAAGGTAAAGAGGCCGAGGGGACGGGTCTTCTTCCCTCCCTGCTCTCTTTACCTTCCTCTTTCTCCTTCTCACCACCGCCAGGGCTTCTTGTTGCCGGTGGCGAGGAGGAGGAAGAGGAAGGCAAAGAGGGTGAGGTAGGAAGAGGAGCTGCCCCCTCGCCCTCTTTACCTTCCTCCTCCTCTCCGCCACCGGGGCCTCTTGGTGCAACTTGGTGACAAGGAAGAGGAAGAAAAAGAGGGTTGAGGGGCAGCAAGACATCCTGAAACCACTCTCCTTTTGCTTAAGTCTGACACTGAGTGTGGAAATGATCTTTTACTGCTTCTCTGCAGAGACTGAAACTGATTATTCTCAATCAGTCATTTGATTTGGTTCTTTGCTTGAAGGACAGTATCCTAACTTGCTTGGGTTCACTTTCAGACTCCTACGAAAGAATATTGCGGCATATTTCCAGAGAAGCGGACACGGTGGTCGTGGCGGTGGAGTAAGTGGCGGTTTTGCTATTACGTTCAGATCTGTTTTCCATGAGGATGCAAAGTGTCCGGACAGCAGAATTAATGCATTTCAACACCCCTCTAACTGTGATGGCTATGAAATGATGAGAGTTGTAGTAAAGATATTTAGAAAGGAAAAAAAGAAGGGAAGAATAGAGGGTGGGAAGGAAAGAAGGGAAGATATATAGAAGGGAGGGAGGAAAGAAGGAAGAAAGGAAGGAAAGAGGGAAGGAGGGAGGAAGAAAGGAGAGAAGAAAGAGGGAAGGGAGAAAAAGAAAGAAAAATGAAGGGGAGAACAGGAGGGAGGGAGGGAGGGAGGAAAGAAGAAAGCGATGAAGAAAGGATGGGAAGGAGGAGGGAGAGAGAAAAGAAAGAAGGAATGGAAGAAGGAAGAAAGAGAGAAAGGGAGGGAGATGGAGGAAGGAAGGAGAAAGAGGTGGAAAAAGGAAGGAATAGAAGAAGGAAGAAAATAAGGAGGGAGGAGGAAGTAAGGAGAGAAGAAGGAAAGGAGGGGAGGAAGGAAGGGAAGAAGAAAGAGATGGAAAAGGAAGGAATAGAAGAAGAAAAGAAGAGGGAGGGAGGAAGAAGGAAGGAGAGGAGGAAGGAAGGGGAAAGAGGTGGAAAAGGGAAGGAATAGAAGAAGGAAGAAAAGAAGGGAGGGAGGAAGAAGGAAGGAAGGAAAGAGGAAAGGAGGGGAGGAGGAGGAAGGAGAAAGGGAAAAAGGAAGGAAAGGTAGAAAAGAAGGGGGAGGGAGGAAGGAGAGAAGAAGGAAAGGAGAGAAGGAAATGAGGGGAAGAAGAAAGAGGTGGGAAAAGGGAGGAAGGAAGGAGAAAGAAATGATCGATGGAAAGAAGGAAAGAGAGTAGCAAATACGTTATTGTATGTAGATGACACCGTAACACTGTCGTCCTCTTTAGGTACGGGTTAGGACCGGAACACGCCTACCCCAACCAGTACGTTGAGTGCGAGAAGGCCACCGTCCACTTCATGAAGCACGTGGCTGACTACAATGTCGACGCCTCCCGGATCATAGTCTCCGGGGACAGCTGCGGAGCCAATTTCGCCACCCGGATTTGCCAGCTGCTGGTTTCCCGGAACGACCTCCCCCGGATCCATTCCCAGGTCTTGATCTACCCGGGTCTCCAAGGCATGGACTTCTACTTGCCGTCCTACCAGCAGAACAGCAAAGTGCCCATCCTGTGGAGGGAGACGGTCATCTACTTCTGTTGCCTTTACCTCAACAAGTGCACCTCGTTCATTGACGACGTCCTGGAGAGCCGCCACGTCCCGGAGAGCGTCCTGCGGAAATACCGGAAGTGGGTCAGCGCGGACTTGATCCCCGAGGAATTCAAAGCGAGGGGCTACCGGCCCCAAGACACCGGCTTGTACGAGTTCAAGCCCAAGGTCTACGAGGAGATGAAAGCCGTCTTGGAAGAGAACTTCTCTCCGCTTTTCGCCCCGGACGAGACGATCGCGAAGCTCCCACAGACGTATATCTTGACCTGCGAGTTCGACGTCCTCCGGGACGATGGGTTGTTGTACAAGAGGCGGCTGGAGGACAACGGGGTCCCGGTGAAGTGGGTCCACGTGGAGAACGGCTTCCACGGCGTCGCCATCCTCTTCGGATATGGGTTGTTATCCTTCCCGTCCGCGGAACGGATTGTGCGCGAGACCACAGATTACATCAAAGGACTATGAAGAGAGGAAACGGAGACAGAAATGAAGCCAACGCAAGAGCTGAACTGATTCTTCATCCACCTCATCTTCTACTACGCCTTTGGTACCACGTTCCCTTAAACTCTATTTCTAAACTTTGGTGGAAAGCACGAAATTCAGCATCAAGTACAGACGTGAACCTGATTTTGGGGACTGAATCATCTCACTGGAAACTGAGGAAAGATATGGACGTCCAACCAAGTGAAATCATCTCTCAAAAATGACTTTAGTTCCTTGAAGAGATCAATTCACAAGTGTAGTGGTGGTCAACAGCCATGATGTTGGTGGTCAACTGAGGAACGATATGGACGTCCTAGCAAGTTAAATCATCTCTCAGAAATGACTTTGGTTCCTTGAAGAGATCCATTCACAAGTCTAGTGGTGGTCAACAGCAATGATGTTGGTGGTCAACAGCCATGATGGTCAACAGCCATGATGTTGGTGGTCAACTGAGGAAAGATATGGATGTCCAACCAACCAACATCATGTTGGCGGTCAACTGAGGAACGATATGGACGTCCAACCAAGTGACACCATCTCTCAGAAATGACTTTGGTTCCTTGAAGAGATCAATTCACAAGTCTAGTGGTGGTCAACAGCCATGATGTTGGTGGTCAACTGAGGAAAGATATGGACATCCAACCAAGTGACATCATCTCTCAGAAATGACTTTGTTTCCTTGAAGAGATCCATTCACAAGTCTAGTGGTGGTCAACAGCCATGGTGGTCAACAGTCATGACATTGGTGCTCAACTGAGGAAAGATATGGACGTCCAACCAAGTGAAATCATCTCTCAAAAATGACTTTAGTTCCTTGAAGAGATCAATTCACAAGTCTAGTGGAGGTCAACAGCCATGGTGTTGGTGGTCAACAGCCATGATGGTCAACAGCCATGATGTTGGTGGTCAACTGAGGAAAGATATGGACGTCCAACCAAGTGAAATCATCTCTCAGAAATGTCTTTGGTTCCTTGAAGAGATCCATTCACAAGTCTAGTAGTGGTCAACAGTCATGATGTTGGTGGTCAACAGCCGTGGTGGTCAACAGCCATGATGTTGGTGCTCAACTGAGGAAAGATATGGACGTCCAACCAACCAACATCATGTTGGCGGTCAACTGAGGAACGATATGGACGTCCAACCAAGTGACACCATCTCTCAGAAATGACTTTGGTTCCTTGAAGAGATCAATTCACAAGTCTAGTGGTGGTCAACAGCCATGATGTTGGTGGTCAACTGAGGAAAGATATGGACATCCAGCCAAGTGGCATCATGTCTCAAAAATGACTTTGGTTCCTTGAAGAGATCCATTCACAAGTCTAGTGGTGGTCAGCAGCCATGGTGGTCAACAGTCATGATGTTGGTGGTCAACAGCCATGATGGTCAACAGCCATGATGTTGGTGGTCAACTGAGGAAAGATATGGACGTCCAACCAAGTGAAATCATCTCTCAGAAATGTCTTTGGTTCCTTGAAGAGATCCATTCACAAGTCTAGTGGTGGTCAACAGCCATGGTGGTCAACAGTCATGATGTTGGTGGTCAACTGAGGAAAGATATGGACGTCCAACCAAGTGAAATCATCTCTCAGAAATATCTTTGGTTCCTTGAAGAGATCCATTCACAAGTCTAGTGGTGGTCAACAACCATGATGTTGGTGGTCAACAGCTATGGTGGTCAACAGCCATGATGTTGGTGGTCAACTGAGGAAAGATATGGATGTCCAACCAAGTGAAATCATCTCTCAGAAATGTCTTTGGTTCCTTGAAGAGATCCATTCACAAGTCTAGTGGTGGTCAACAGCCATGGCGTTGGTGGTCAACAGCCATGGTGGTCAACAGTCATGATGTTGGTGGTCAACTGAGGAAAGATATGGAAGTCCAACCAAGTGAAATGACTTTGGTTCCTTGAAGAGATCCATTTACAAGTCTAGTAGTGGTCAACAGGCATGGTGGTCAATAGCCATGATGTTGGTGGTCAACAGCCATGGTTGCGGCTTCTTCATCAAAAGAAGTATAGAGTTTGAAACTATATGATATGAAGGATACCTACGTTCCTGACCGTGGTGACCTGAAACCAGAAGGCCATTAAATTTCTGAACTTCAGTAACAGCATGCCATAGAGTCACCTTGGAAGACACGAATCTGGGAACATCTGCTGGACACACAATCATATCACCTGGAAGACCTAGCAAAGTTCTCAGAGTGGACATTTTCTCCTCCCTGGATACGAGTAAACAAGATTACGGATTTCTCTTCACCAGTTTTAGGGATTTTACTGGAATTTGAAGTATGAATTGGGACCAAGGTTGGTAGGGTACATACAGGCCTCAGGAACGAAGACCTGAGACTTCTCTCTGTGTGTGTGTGTTTGTTTGTTTGTTTGTTTATCTATTTATTTATTTATTTTATGACATTTTTAAGATCCCGCATTAGGGTTCGAACATTGCCTATTTAAATAAATACATGAGAAGATGTTCACCACGTCTCATTTATGAATCGCCCAGACAAGCATTTCCAAACATGCCTCCGACGGCATCTTCTCGTCCGCCGTCTTCCCTTTGAGTTACTCTCTGTCCATTATCAGATGCCATATCATGACATTCTTCCTACTCACCCAAATGCCTGAGATGTTGGCCAACAAGGAAGTTCTGCCGTTTCGGGGTCACACTTCATAACATGCCCAGTACCTGAGATATTATGCAGCAAGGATGGCCCATCAATTCCACATGCGGCAATTCATAGAACGTGGATCCTGATGGAGATGGGGAAGGGATACCGACTCCATGGAGCTGACTTGCACCATGATGGAGATGTGGAGATATGCATCTAAATAGTCTATGAATAGACTCAGGATGTGGAGATATGCATCTATATAGTCTATGAACACCAGAGGACACCAGAGAGCTAAAAAACCTGATACTTGTCTCCATAAGTCAATAATGACCTATGAATGAGAGAACCCCCCCCCCCCAATGTCCCCTTATCTTTAGGTCTTGCAAAGTATATTCAGCATTGACTTATGGTGGACTCATGAATGAACAACATTATGGTGGATGCATGAATGAAAGTCCTCCATGTCCCCTTATCCTTAGGGCTTACCAAGTATACTCAACATTGACTCATGGTGGACCCATGAACGAGAGACCCCCATGTCACCTTACCTTTAGGTCTTGCAAAGTATACTCAACATTGACTTATGGTGGACCCATGAATGAATGATGTTATGGTGGATGCATGAATGAAAGTCCTCCATGTCCCCTTATCCTTAGGGCTTACAAAGTATACTCAACTTTGACTTATGGTGGACCTATGAATGAGGGAGCTTCATGTCTCCTTATCCTTGGGGCTTAGAAAGTATACTCAATGTTGACTTATGGTGGACCCATGAATGAATGATGTTATGGTGGATGCATGAATGAAAGTCCTCCATGTCTCCTTATCCTTAGGGCTTACAAACTATACTCAACATTGACTTATGGTGGACCTATGAATGAGGGACCTTCATGTCTCCTTATCCTTAGGGCTTACAAACTATACTCAACATTGACTTATGGTGGACCTATGAATGAGGGACCTTCATGTCCCCTTATCCTTAGGGCTTACAATGCATACTCAACGTTGACTTACGGTGGGCCTGTGAATAATAGACCCCCATGTCCCCTTATCCTTAGGGCTTACAACGTATACTGAACGTTGACTTATGGTGGACCTATGAATGAAGGACCTTCATGTCTCCTTATCCTTAGGGCTTACAAAGTATACTCAACGTTGACTTACGGTGGACCTATGAATGAGGGACCCTCATGTCCCCTTATCCTCAGGGCTTACAAAGTATACTCAACGTTGACTTACGGTGGGCCTATGAATGAGGGACCTTCGTGTCCCCTTATCCTTAGGGCTTACAAAGTATACTCAACGTTGACTTACGGTGGACCTATGAATGAGGGACCTTCATGTCCCCTTATCCTCAGGGCTTACAAAGTATACTCAATGTTGACTTATGGTGGGCCTGTGAATGAGGGACCTTCATGTCCCCTTATCCTTAGGGCTTACAAAGTATACTCAACGTTGACTTGTGGTGGACCTATGGATGACGGACCTTAATGTCTCCTTATCCTTAGGGCTTACAAAGTATACTCAACGTTGACTTATGGTGGGCCTGTGAATGAGGGACCTTCATGTCCCCTTAACTTTAGGGCTTACAAAGTATACTCAATGTTGACTTATGGTGGGCCTGTGAATGAGGGACCTTTATGTCCCCTTAACCTTAGGGCTTACAAAGTATACTCATCATTGACTTATGGTGGGCCTGTGAATGAGGGACCTTCATTTCCGCCGTCTTCCTTTTGAGTTATTCTCTGTCCTTTATCAGATGCCATATCATGACATTCTTCCTACTCACCCAAATGCCTGAGATGTTGGCCAACAAGGAAGTTCTGCCGTTTCGGGGTCACACTTCATAACATGCCCAGTACCTGAGATATTATGCAGCAAGGATGGCCCATCAATTCCACATGCGGCAATTCATAGAACGTGGATCCTGATGGAGATGGGGAAGGGATGCCGACTCCATGGAGCTGACTTGCGCCGTGCTGGAGATGTGGAGATATGCATCTCAATAGTCTATGAATAATCTGGAATGCATACATGTCCTGATTCAGGATGTGGAGATATGCATCTAAATAGTCTATGAACACCAGAGGACACCAGAGAGCTAAAGAACCTGATACTTCTCTCCATAAGTCAACCATGACTTCAAGGCACACAGGAAGAACATAAAAATAAAAATGTAATGTCCATAGCATTTCCTTCAACTTTGGTGAGATTTATTTGGGAAAAATTGTAATCATAAAATAAATATAAATATAAATAATAAATATAAAAATAAAATCCCTTGCCAAATCCCTTGCCAAAAACCGACGTGTTTGCTAGGCAGGAAAATACATAATATATGGAATGAAAGCTTTGTTGACATTGCCACCTCAGCTCCAAATGCTAATCCAGTTCTTTCATTCTATATATTCTGTATTTACCTGCCTAGCAAACATGTCAGTTGTTGGCAAGGGATTGCAGCTTGACATCCGTACCAGCTGGGACAAAATAAACAACTCGGTGGCATTTTCTTCAACTTTGGTGAAGAAAATCCCTTGCCAAAAACCAACATGTTTGCTAGGCAGGAAAATACATAATATATGGAATGAAAGCTTTGTTGACATTGCCACCTCAGCTCCAAATGCTAATCCAGTTCTCGTAATGCCCAAACGATGAGCTGATTATAATTTTTCCCAAATAAATCTCACCAAAGTTGAAGAAAATGCCACCAAGTTGTTTATTTCGTCCCAGCTGGTACGGATGTCAAGCTGCAATCCCTTGCCAAAAACTGACATGTTTGCTAGGCAGGTAAATACAGAATATATGGAATGAAAGCTTTGTTGACATCGGTTGGGCATTACAAGAACTGGATTAGCATTTAGAGCTGAGGTGGCAGTGTCAACAAAGCTTTCATTCTATATATTCTGTATTTACCTGCCTAGCATACATGTCAGTTTTTTGGCATGTTGTTTCTTTCGTCCCAGCTGGTACGGATGTCAAGCTGCAATCCCTTGCCAAAAACTGACATGTTTGCTAGGCAGGTAAATACAGAATATGTGGAATGAAAGCTTTGTTGACATTGCCACCTCAGCTCTTGTAATGTCCATGGCATTTTCTTCACCTTTAGTGAGATTTAATTGGGAAAAAGCTTTCATCCCCTATATTCTGTATTTACCTGCCTAGCAAATATGTCGGTTTTTGGCAAGGGATTGCAGCTTGACTCTTCAACTTTGGTGAGATTTATTTGGGAAAAAGTATAAGCAGCTCATCGTTTGGGTATTACAAGAACTGGATTATCATTGTATAAATATATGTATATTTATACATGTATAAATATGTATAAATATTTATATTTATATATACATGTATAAATATGTGAGAGGAAGCCACAGGGAAGAGGGAGCAAGCTTGTTTTCTGCTTCCTTGGAGACTAGGACGCGGAACAATGGCTTCAAACTACAAGAGAGGAGATTCCATCTGAACACGAGGAAGAACTTCCTGACTGTGAGAGCCGTTCAGCAGTGGAACTCTCTGCCCCAGAGTGTGGTGGAGGCTCCTTCTTTGGAAGCTTTTAAGCAGAGGCTGGATGGCCATCTGTCAGGGGTGATTTGAATGCAATATTCCTGCTTCTTGGCAGGGGGTTGGACTGGATGGCCCATGAGGTCTCTTCCAACTCTTTGATTCTATGATTCTATGATTGAGAGCTGAGGTGGCAATGTCAACAAAGCTGTCATTCTATATATTCTGTATTTACCTGCCTAGCAAACGTGTCAGTTTTTTTGGCATGTTGTTTATTTCGTCCCAGCTGGTGTGGATGTCAAGCTGACATTTGCTAGGCAGGTAAACACATGATATACAGAATGAAACCTTTGTTGACATTGCCACCTCAACTCCAAATGCTAATCCAGTTCTCGTAATGCCCAAACGATGCGGTGCTTATGGCCGCCACCTCCATCCTGTTTTGACTTGCCTCTCCTACCTAGGATAACCTGTACCCAACCCGGTTTTCCTGAAACCGCTGCCAATGGCTCACGGCTTCCTTCGTTGGCCTTGGCACGTTCTCGGTATCAAATAATGCTAGAACCGATTTGGAGACGACATTTATAACCCAGGAACAATCATCTGAAGACACCTGCCCAAGGAGAGGACCGCTATGTGGCCAAGATCTCCTCCCACTTCTGTTGCTTTGCCAACTCCGATATTGACTCGGTTGCCTAATCGAGTTGCGAGATCTTGCGTGGTCAGCATCCTTTTATCAAGCTTCCTGCTCTTGTTGTGCAAGAGATGCCGGCAACGAGCCCAGTCATCAACCGGTTTGCAACAACGTGGAGACACGGCTGATCACAACGCTCTGGCACGTTTGGAAGAGCCATGGAGCTCAGCTTGACCTTCTTGGTGATCTTCTTTGAAGTCCTCCTCCTCCCCTTCGCTCTGCTCTTGGTTTGGGCCATCTACTGCGACCTCTCCAAGTCGGAGATCCCTCCAGGCATCGACCAGCCGATAAAACTACGCATCCTTCACTGGCTCCTCATCCTTTCTTCTGCTGTGGTGAGTCCCTCCGAAGTCATAGAATCCTAGAATCAAAGAGTTGGAAGAGACCTCCTGGGTCATCCAGTCCAACCCCATTCTGCCAAGAAGCAGAAATATTGCATTCAAAGCACCCCTGACAGATGACCATCCAGCCTCCCTTCTGCTAACCCTTTGAGAAGCAAAACAACCACCACCTCCTCCTCATAGAATCCTAGAATCAAAGAGTTGGAAGAGACCTCCTGGGCCATCATCCAGTCCAACCCCATTCTGCCAAGAAGCAGGAATATTGCATTCAAATCACCCCTGACAGATGGCCATCCAGCCTCCCTTCTGCTAACCCTTTGAGAAGCAAAACAACCACCACCACCTCCTCATAGAATCCTAGAATCAAAGAGTTGGAAGAGACCTCCTGGGCCATCCAGTCCAACCTCATTCTGCTAAGAAGCAGGAATATTGCATTCAAATCACCCCTGACAGATGGCCATCCAGCCTCCCTTCTGCTAACCCTTTGAGAAGCAAAACAACCACCACCTCCTCCTCCCCCTCCTCCTCATAGAATCATAGAATCAAAGAATTGGAAAAGTTCAACCCCATTATGCCAAGAAGCAGGAATATTGCATTCAAATCACCCCTGACAGATAGCCATCCAGCCTCCCTTCTGCTAACCCTTTGAGAAGCAAAACAACCACCACCACCTCCTCATAGAATCATAGAATCAAAGAGTTGGAAGAGACCTCCTGGGCCATCCAGTCCAACCCCATTCTGCCAAGAAGCAGGAATATTGCATTCAAATCACCCCTGACAGATGGCCATCCAGCCTCCCTTCTGCTAACCCTTTGAGAAGCAAAACAACCACCACCTCCTCCTCCCCCTCCTCCTCATAGAATCATAGAATCAAAGAATTGGAAAAGTTCAACCCCATTATGCCAAGAAGCAGGAATATTGCATTCAAATCACCCCTGACAGATAGCCATCCAGCCTCCCTTCTGCTAACCCTTTGAGAAGCAAAACAACCACCTCCTCCTCATAGAATCATAGAATCAAAGAGTTGGAAGAGACCTCCTGGGCCATCCAGTCCAACCCCATTCTGCCAAGAAGCAGGAATATTGCATTCAAAGCGCCCCTGACAGATGGCCATCCAGGCCTCTGTTTCAAAGTTTCCAAAGAAGGAGCCTCCAGCACACTCCGGGGCAGAGAGTTCCACTGCTGAACGGCTCTCACAGTCAGGAAGTTCTTCCTCATGTTCAGATGGAATCTCCTCTCTTGTAGTTTGAGGCCATCCTAGAGTTGGAAGAGACCTTGCGGGCCATCCAGTTGAACCCCATTCTGCCAGGAAAATATAATAATAATAATAATAATAATAATAATAATAATAATAATAATAATAATTAGACATCTCGTAGATGTGGAAGGGATCCCTTAGAGCATCTAGTCCAACCACAGTTCATATTCCTATATTAAGATATTATTATTAGACATTATTATTATTATTATTAGATATTATTATTATTATTATTATTATTATTATTATTATTATTATTATTATTATTATTAGACTTCTCGTAGATGTGGGAGGGATCCCTTAGAGACCATCTAGTCCAACCACAGTTCAGATTCCTATATTAAGATATTATTGTTATTAGACATTATTATTATTAGACTTCTCATAGAAATGGAGGGGACCCCCTAGAGACCATCTCGTCCTACCACAGTTCATATTCCTATATTACGACATTACTATTATTATTATTATTATTAGATATTATTATTATTATTATTATTATTATTATTGTTGTTGTTGTTGTTGTTGTTGTTATTAGACTCCTCGTAGAAGTGGAAGGGACCCCCCTAGAGACCATCTTATCCAACCACAGTTCAGATTCCTATATTAAGATATTATTATTAGACATTATTATTATTAAACATTATTATTATTAGTCATTATTATTATTATTACTATTATTATTATTATTATTATTATTATTATTATTATTATTAGATTTCTCGTAGATATGGAAGGGACCCCCTAGAGACCATCTAGTCCTAACACAGTTCAGATTCCTATATTATGACATTATTATTATTATTATTATTATTATTATTATTATTATTAGACAGTATTATTATTATTAGACTTCGTAGAAGTGGAAGGGACCTTCTAGAAGCCATCTAGTCCAACCTTTTTAAAGACATTATTGTTATTATTATTATTATTATTAGACTTCATAGAAGGGGAAGGGACCCCTGGAGACCATCTAGTCCAACCACAGTTCAGATTCCTATATTAAGACATTATTATTATTAGACATTATTATTATTATTATTATTATTATTATTATTATTATTATTATTATTATTACATTTCTCGTAGAAGTGGAAGGGACCCCCTAGAGACCATCTAGTCCAACCACAGTTCAGATTCCTATATTAAGATATTATTATTATTAGACATTATTATTATTATTATTATTATTATTATTATTATTATTATTATTATTATTATTAGACTTCCCGTAGAAGTGGAAGGGACTCCCCAGAGACCATCTAGTCCAACCACAGTTCAGATTTCTATATTAAGACATTATTATTATTATTATTATTGGACGTTATTATTATTTGTTTATTATTATTATTATTATTATTATTATTGTTATTATTATTAGACTTCCCGTAGAAGTGGAAGGGACCCCCTAGAGACCATCTAGTCCAACCACAGTTCAGATTCCAATATTAAGATATTATTATTATTATTATTATTGTTATTATTAGACTTCTCATAGATGTAGAAGGGACCCTCTAGAGACCATCTAGTCCAACCTAAGCTCATGCTCTTATTTTAATACATTATTATTATTGGACTTATTATTATTATTATTATTATTATTATTATTATTATTAGACTTCTCAAGGTAGTGGGAGGGACCCCCTAGAGACCATCTAGTCCAACCTCAGCTCAAACTCATAGAATCTTAGGGTTGGAAGAGACCTCATAAGCCACCCAGTCCAACCCCATTTTGCCAAGAAGAAGGAATATTGCATTCAAAGCACCCCCAACAGATGGCCATCCAGCCTCTGTTTCAAAGCTTCCAAGGAAGGAGCCTCCACCACACTCTGGGACAGAGAGTTCCACTGCTGAACGGCTCTCACAGTCAGGAAGTTCTTCCTCGTGTTCAGATGGAATCTCCTTTCTTGTAGCTTGAAGCCATTGTTCCATTGTGTCCTAGTCCCCAGGGAAGCAGAAAGGAAGCCTCCTCCCTCCTCCCTATGACTTCTCCACCCATGGTCCTCATGATGTCTCCTCTCAGCCTTCTCTTCTTCAGGCAATACATGCCCAGCTCTTTAAGCCGCTCCTCATAGGGCTTGTTCTCCAGACCCTTGATCATTTTAGTCACCCTCTTCCTCTGGACACATTCCAGCTTGTCAATATCTCTCTTCAAGTGTGGTGCCCAGAATTGGACACAATATTCCAGGTGTGGTCAATCGTGGTAGGGGTCTTTGTATATTGCACAATATAGAACCCCATGGGTTGTATAGAATTCTATGGGCAGTTGTATATCACACTATATAGCACCCCATGGGTTGTTGTATATTGCACAATATAGAACCCTAGGAGCAGTTGTATATTTCTCTATATAGAATTCTATGGGTAGTTGTATATTGCTCAGCACAGAATCCTATGGGTTGTTGTATATTGCACAATATAGAACCCTAGGAGCAGTTGTATATTGCACAATATAGAATTCTATGGGCAGTTGTATATTTCACAATATATAGAACCACATGGGTTGGTTATATTGCACAATATAGAACCCTAGGAGCAGTTGTATATTGCACAATATAGAATTCTATGGTCAGTTGTATATTGTACCATATAGAACCCTAGGAACAGTTGTATAGTCTACAATATAGAATTATATGGGCAGTTGTATATTGCACTATATAGAACCCCATGGGTTGTTGTATATTGCACAATATAGAACCCTAGGAGGAGTTGTATATTGCAGAATATAGAATTCTATGGGCAGTTGTTTATTGCACAATATAGAACCCTAGGAACAGTTGTATATTCTACAATATAGAATTATATGGACAGTTGTATATTGCACTATATAGAACCCCATGGGTTGTTGTATATTGCACAATATACAACCCTATGAGCAGTTGTATATTGCTCACTATAGAACCTCATGGGTAGTTGTATATTGCAAAATATAGAACTCTAGGAGCAGTTGTATATTGCACAATATAGAATTCTATGGGCAGTTGTATATTGCACAATATATAGAATATACAACAACCCATGGGGTTCTATATAGTGTGATATACTACTGCCCATAGAATCCTATATTGTGAAATATACAACTGCTCCTAGGGTTCTATATCATGCAATATACAACAACCCATAGGGTTCTATATTGTGCAATATACAAAGACCCTATGGGCCGTTGTATATTGCACAATCTACAACCCAATGGGTCATTGCATTTGCAAAATACAGAACCCTGATATAAAACCCAGGGCCTCTCCAAACTACAGTTCTCAGGATTCCATAACATTGGGCAATGGTAGTTAAAGTGGTGTCAATGTGCAATAACCTTACAGTGCAGTCTCCAAAAGCTGATGCCACCAAGTTGGTTCCAAGTCGCTAGTATCAAGATTCCTGACATTCCAGAGTGATCTTTGACATAGTTGTGTGTTTTTTTCCTTGCAGTCGTAAGGACTATGAGGATAAATATCAAGCGTGGACTCTCGTGGCCTTTCCATGATGGCAGGAATCCAACCCTGGTCGATCATTCCTGAAAACATGCAAACAAAGGCTGTGTTGCTTATCAGCCGAATGGTATTGACTTGACCTTTCCCTACTTTCAGCCTCGTCCAGAATTTATTTTCGTGACAGAAGCAGAACCAAGTGCCTTTGGAGACTCGTGGCGTTAGGAAAGACCATAACGGAAACGTCTTCACACCATATCTTCGGTCCTCCTTTCGCTATCGTAATTCGGAGATTGGTACAATTCGTTAATACAAGTCTCCGAAACATTACGAAACGGAAGTTGGAACCTCCTCCTCCGAAACATTACGAAACAAAACGGAAGTCGAAACCTCCTCCTTCAAAACATTATGAAACGAAACAGAAGTCGGAACCTCCTCGTCCGAAATATTACGAAACAAAACGGAAGTCGGAACCTCCTTCTCTGAAACATTATGAAACAAAACGGAAGTCGAAACGTCCTCCTCCGAAATATTACGAAACAAAATGGAAGTCAGAACCTCCTCCTCCGAAACATTATGAAACAAAACGGAAGTCGGAACCTCCTCCTCTGAAACATAACGAAACAAAATGGAAGTCGGAACCTCCTCCTCCGAAACATTATGAAACGAAACGGAAGTCGGAACCTCCTCGTCCGAAACATTATGAAACAAAACGGAAGTCAGAACCTCCTCCTCCGAAACATTACAAAACAAAACGGAAGTCGTAACCTCCTCGTCCGAAACATAAAGAAACAAAATGGAAGTCGGAACCTCCTCCTCCGAAACATTATGAAACGAAACGGAAGTCGTAACCTCCTCGTCCGAAACATTACGAAACAAAATGGAAGTCGTAACCTCCTCGTCCGAAACATTATGAAACAAAATGGAAGTCGTAACCTCCTCGTCCGAAACATTATGAAACAAAACGGAAGTCGGAACCTCCTCCTCCGAAACATTATGAAACAAAACGGAAGTCGGAACCTCCTTCTCCAAAACATTACGAAACGAAACGGAAGTCGGAACCTCCTTCTCCGAAACATTACGAAACAAAACGGAAGTGGGAATCTTCTTCTCCGAAACATTACGAAACAAAATGGAAGTTGGAACCTCCTCCTCCGAAACATTACGAAACAAAATGGAAGTCGGAACTTCCTTGTCTGAAACATTATGAAACGAAACGAAAGTCGTAACCTCCTCCTCCGAAACATTACGAAACAAAATGGAAGTCCGAATCTCCTACTCCGAAACATTTTGAACCGAAACGGAAGTCGGAACCTCCTCCTCCGAAACATTACAAAACAAAACGGAAGTGGGAACCTCCTCCTCTAAAACATTATGAAATGAAATGGAAGTCGGAACCTCCTCCTCCGAAACATTACGAAACAAAACAAAAGTTGGAACCTCCTTCTCTGAAACATTACGAAACGAAACGGAAGTTGGAACACCTTCCTCTAAAACATTACGAAATGAAACGGAAGTCGGAACCTCCTCCTCCGAAACATTACGAAACAAAACAGAAGTCGGAACCTCCTCGTCCGAAATATTACGAAACAAAACGGAAGTCGGAACCTCCTCCTCCAAAACATTACGAAATGAAACAGAAGTTGGAACCTCCTCCTCCGAAACATTACGAAACAAAATGGAAGTCGGAACCTCCTCCTCCGAAACATTACAAAACAAAACAGAAGTCGGAACCTCCTCCTCCGAAACATTACGAAACGAAACGGAAGTCAGAACCTCCTCCTCCGAAACATGACAAAAACAAAACGGAAGTTGGAACCTCCTCCTCCGAAACATTACAAAACGAAATGGAAGTCGGAACCTCCTCCTCTGAAACATTACGAAACAAAACGGAAGTCGGAACCTCCTCCCCTGAAACATTACAAAACGAAATGGAAGTCGGAACCTCCTCCTCCGAAACATTACGAAACGAAACGGAAGTCGGAACCTCCTGCTCCGACACATTACGAAATGAAACGGAAGTCGGAACCTCCTCCTCCGAAACATTACGAAACAAAAATGGAAGTTGGAACCTCCTCCTCCAAAACATTAAGAAACGAAACGAAAGTTGGACCATCCTCCTCCGAAACATTACGAAATGAAACGGAAGTCGGAACCTCCTCCTCCGAAACATTACAAAATGAAACGGAAGTCGGAACCTCCTCCTCCAAAACATTAAGAAACGAAACGAAAGTTGGACCATCCTCCTCCGAAACATTACGAAATGAAACGGAAGTCGGAACCTCCTCCTCCGAAACATTACAAAATGAAACGGAAGTCGGAACCTCCTCCCCTGAAACATTACAAAACGAAATGGAAGTCGGAACCTCCTCCTCCGAAACATTACGAAACGAAACGGAAGTCGGAACCTCCTGCTCCGACACATTACGAAATGAAACGGAAGTCGGAACCTCCTCCTCCGAAACATTACGAAACAAAAATGGAAGTTGGAACCTCCTCCTCCAAAACATTAAGAAACGAAACGAAAGTTGGACCATCCTCCTCCGAAACATTACGAAATGAAACGGAAGTCGGAACCTCCTCCTCCGAAACATTACAAAATGAAACGGAAGTCGGAACCTCCTCCTCCGAAACATTACGAAATGAAACGGAAGTCGGAACCTCCTCCTCCGAAACATTACGAAACAAAACAGAAGTCGGAACCTCCTCGTCCGAAATATTACGAAACAAAACAGGAGTCGGAACCTCCTCCTCTAAAACATTACGAAACAAAACGGAAGTTGGAACCTCCTCCTCTAAAACATTACGAAACAGAAGTCGGATGCAAAGCGGCAATCATTCACCAAGCTAAGCATACATGTACACAAATAAATGCCATTTTTATAGAAAAAACAAGAGTGTGGGATTTATTCCCCCCCCCCGCCCCCCCCCCCCCCGGCCTGGCTGGCGCCTCAACAACTGGGAGGAGGCTCATCTGCCCCTCGAGCACCTGGGCCAATCACAGGGCTTCTGCCGCCTTGGCGCGTTGACGAATCAGGAGGGAGGGAGGTGGGACAAGGGAATACAATGCATTCTTGAATGGATTATGGAACTCAGGAAATGTCCATGTGGCTCAGTGAGTTCTAAATGGCCTTCGAGCGAAACCTGTCTATTGTGTCGTGGTTGATCTGAAATAAGACTTAATCCGGGTTTTGAATCTCCCACCCCCTGCTCCATTCCCCCCCCCGCCTGACTTGAAGGTGATCGGCTGGCGCCTCAACAACTGGGAGGAGGCTCGTCTGCCCCTTGAGCGCCTGGGCCAATCACAGGGCTTCTGCCGCCTTGGAGTGTCAACGAATCAGGAGGGAGGGAGGTGGGACAAGGGAATACAATGCATTCTTGAATGGATTATGGAACTCAGGAAATGTCCATGTGGCTCAGCGAGTCCTAAATGGCCTTCAAGCAAAGTCTGTCTATTGTGTCGTGGTTGATCTGAAATAAGACTTAATCCGGGATTTGAATCCCCCCCCTCCTGACTTGAAGGTGATTGGCTGGCGCCTCAACAACTGGGAGGAGGCTCGTCTGCCCCTTGAGTGCCTGGGCCAATCACAGGGCTTCTGCCGCCTTGGCGCGTCAACGAATCAGGAGTGAGGGAGGTGGGACAAGGGAATACAATGCATTCTTGAATGGATTATGGAACTCAGGAAATGTCTATGTGGCTCAGCGAGTCCTAAATGGCCTTCAAGTGAAACCTGTCTATTGTGTCGTGGTTGATCTGAGATAAGACTTAATCCGGGTTTTCCTCTTGCGGTCAGACAGGGGCACAATGGAGGAGATTTTGGTGAATGTGCTTAAAGGAAAGGCTTGAAAGTAAACGGGTCAGGAGGAAGAGGACTTTCCGAAGGTCCTTTTTCCTCTGATTGTAATGTGATTAAAAAGTCTGCCAAGTGATTATCCCTTTGATGGTCCGCCTCCGAAGTCAAGGAGACATTTCTTTGTTATTTTTCCATGCAAGAAATGTTCTCTCTTAATTGTCTCTTTCTTTCTCCTCTCTACAGGGAAAGATCCTGGAGAACCTTTGCCTCTGCTCCGAGATCGACTTCATCCGCTTCACCCAAGAAGGGAAAAAGATGGGAGAGGACCCCAAACTCACCATTATGGACCTTGCTTTTGAAGGCACCCCTGTGAGAGTTTACCAGCCGAGAGGAACGGTTGGGCAGCCAAAGAGAAGAGGACTCATCTATTTCCATGGAGGAGGCTGGATGTTTGGAAGCATTAGTAAGTCATCTGCTTTGTCATGGATAGTTTTTGGTCCTTTCACTATTGGTTGCCACTTCCCGGTGGATGTCAGGTGGTGCAATACCGGCTAAGCAGTGTAATTTCCCCAGTGGTGTAGGGCGCAGGCACCCCATGATAATGCGGCATGTCTCATTAAGAGCCACATCCACTGTTTGAGCGTGGTGAGATGTGTTCCACACCGGCCATGCATACTCAGCAGCAGAGTAGCATAGCGCAAGGGCAGATGTCTTCACTGTGTCTAGTTGTGATCCCTAGGTTGTGCCAGTCAGTTTTCGTATGATATTGTTTCTAGTGCCCACTTTTTGCTTGATGTTTCAGGCAGTGCTTCTCGTAGGTCAGAGCACGGTCCAGAGTGACTCCCAGGTACTTAGGTGCGCTGCAATGCTCCAGTGGGATTCCTTCCTAGGTATAATCCTCAGAGCTCAGGATGCTTGTCTATTCTTAAGGTGAAAGGCACATGTCTGTGTTTTAGATGGATTAGGGATCAGCTGGTTTTCTCTGTCATAGGCAGGAAGAGCACCTAGAGCTTCGGAGAGCTTCTGTTCAACCATTTCAAAGCTTCCTGCTAGGATGGTGATGACATGATCATCAGCATAGATGAAGTTCTCTGTCCCTTCTGGCAGTGGCTGCTCATTTGTCTAGATGTTGAACATGGATGGTGCAGCCAAGTTTCCCCTGTCATAGATAGTAAGAGCACCTAGAGCTTCAGAGAGCTTCTGTTCTACCACTTCAAAGCTCCCTGCTTGAGCGGTGATGGCACGATCATCAGCATAGATGAAACTCTCTGTCCCTTCTGGCAGTGGCTGGTCATTTCTGTACATGTTGAACATGGATGGTGCAGGCTAGTTTTTCCTGTAATAGGCAGTTAGAGCACCTAGAGCTTCGGAGAGCTTCTGTTCAACCATCTCAAAGCTTCCTGCTTGAGCGGTGATGGCACGATCATCAGCATAGATGAAACTCTCTGTCCCTTCTGGCAGTGGCTGGTCATTTCTGTACATGTTGAACATGGATGGTGCAGGCTAGTTTTTCCTGTAATAGGCAGGAAGAGCACCTAGAGCTTCGGAGAGCTTCTGTTCAACCATCTCAAAGCTTCCTGCTTGAGCGGTGATGGCACGATCATCAGCATAGATGAAGCTCTCTGTCCCTTCTGGCAGTGGCTGGTCATTTGTGTAGATGTTGAACATGGATGGAGCAGAGCTGGTTTTCCCTGTAATAGGCAGTAAGAGCACCTAGAGCTTTGGAGAGCTTCTGTTCAACCATCTCAAAGCTCCCTGCTTGAGCGGTAATGGCACGATCATCAGCATAGATGAAACTCTCTGTCCCTTCTGGCAGTGGCTGGTCATTTGTGTAGATGTTGAACATGGATGGAGCAACCACGCTCCCCTGAGGCAGGCCGTTCTTCTGTTTCCGCCATCTGCTTCTCTGGCCCTGGAACTCAACAAAAAAGCTCCTGTTTTGTAGCAGGTTTCCTATGAGGCGGGTGAGGTGGTCGTCCTTTGTGATGTTATACATTTTTCTCAGGAGGAGGCGGTGATTGACAGTGTCATAAGTCGCTGACAGGTCTATGAAGACAGCTCCTGTGATCTGCTGCCTTTCAAAGCCATCTTCTATGTGCTGAGTCAGGTTCAGCACTTGCGATGTGCAGCTTTTGCCTTTCCTGAAGCCAGCTTGATGTGGAATGACCAGGGTGGGACAAAGGACTCTTGTCTGCTGGAGCTAGGTGTGAATGTTTCAACTGACCACCTTGATTAGCATATAATGGCCTGACAGTGCCTGGAGCAAATTTTTGTTGTGAGGTGATTAGATGTCCTACAGACTACTTCAACCAGAGAAGTCAGCCATAGCAGAGCACCTGATGAACCAGCCTGGACACAGCATATTATTTGAGAACACAGAAATGCTGGACCACTCTCACAACCACCACGTGAAGTCTACACAGAGAAGCCATTGAAATCGACAAGCATGTGGACAATTTCAACAGAAAGGAGGAAACCATGAAAATGAAAAAAGTGTGGCTACCAGTATTAAAAAAAACTCTAAACTTAAGACAGCAAAACAACAGAGAGGAAACAAACAAGGACATCTAATCACCTCTCAACAACAGGTAATGCTAATCAAGGTGGTCAGTTGAAACATTCACACCTAGCTCCAGCAGACAAGAGTCCTTTGTCCCACCCGGGTCATTCCACAGATATATAAACTCTTTTCTCTAGTTCCAACAGACCTCACTACCTCTGAGGATGCTTGCCATAGATGTGTTTTTGGCTTTTGGGATAAAAGGTTTGCTCCAAGAGAAAGCCTGTTAGATCAGGCATCGTTTGGAAATCCTGTTCAAGGGGTCTTATTCTTATAGAGATTTTTACCATTTCGCTGTGGTCTAGCACCTTCTGGATTGTCTTTGTAACCTGTTGATTCCTGTCTGGAGAAATACTGCCTTGGATTGTTTTCATATCTTTTGTGGACATTGCTTTGAATTACTGCATTTTACTGATCTTTTACATTTTGAAATTTTCCTATTCTTACAAGCATTTCTTTCTACTGGCTATTTTACTCAGCTTCAATAAAAAGGTTCAGTTTTTTACTCAATGTGTGGTGTGTTTTAAAGTCAGAGGGTATCGTTTCTGTTCCGGAGTGCAACAGATATTTGAATCTGATTTATGCATCTCTTTTCAGATTCCTATGACCACGTTTGCCGGTACATGGCCAAAGAAAGCGATTCGGTGATTGTGTCTGTTGGGTAAGTAATGGGGCCTATTGGGAGATGGTTGATTGCAGATTATTAGAAAGGAGTAGCTTCACTACTGCGAAATATTGTATTGTGTATGTATACTATATATAAATATCTATATCTATCTATCTATCTCTCTATATAAAACAAAGTTCATATATATATATATATATATATATATATATATATATATATATATATATA